GAAATGGAAAGTTTTTTAGAATACTGAAAAGATGAGTGCATACATGCATACACACATAGACACAGAGCAGAGAGAAAGAGAAATGAGTGAATTAGATAGATACATACATACGTATGAATCACTGAAAAAAAACAGCCATTCACTGTTAAATAGTAGTACTGAAAGAAAAATTTATAACAAGAATGTATGTACCAAAAGTGGGAAAGTTTTGAATCAGTAATTTCAATGTAATTCATAAACAAAGAGGAAAAAAATCCCAAAGTAAGGAGTAAGAAAATAATAATCAGATAAATCAATGAAGTGGAAAATGTAAAAATGATGAGAAATCAGTGAAAAATAGAACTTGTTATGTTAAAAAAAATCAGTAAAAGTGACAAATCTGTAGCAATACTGACACAGAAAACCGACAAAAAGATGTGAAATAGGATTCAAATATATTTATAAAGTACAGTATTTCATGATTCAACTTTGAGGACAAGGGTGATAGAATTCTGAAGTGCAAAACCTGGAAAGAAAATGAATCAGTAAGGCAATTTGCTTTTTACTGCCACAACTAAAAATGCGTTTAAATGACATCTTTTTATAGCTTCTAAATTCTAGACAAAAACCTAAAAAGTGCCTCAATTTACTAAAAAGGAATCATATCTGTTTTGATTATTATTCCATTGATCTCTGGATTTTATGTACATTATTAGCTGTTAATGACTGGAAGATGTGATCTTGTTGCTCTAGTTTCAAACTATGATCAGAGTTAATTTTTAATTCAGTAAAACCTGAACAATCTGTAGAAATGCACTTGATACTTAAAATGCCAAATATAATAGTATTCAGTTATATATTAGTTTTTCATTTCAGTAAAATTAAGTCTTTATGTAACTAGATAGAACTCATAAAAACACGCAATCACTTATGCACCATCAGGCTCCCTTGGAAAGAGTTGTTAGAATACATAAAGTGTGGCTTTGTTCACTCACACAAAGAATATGTTCTCACTCTGCCTTTCCTGATTATAATACTTTCATAGAACAAAACGCATATTCATAATAGGGCAAAATAGGATAATCATTTTATTTATAAGTTGATATTATGCTTTTGAGCTTCACCTTTCTCCTGCTTTTATTCTGATAGAAATATAAATACTAATGAAACTGGAAGGAAACTATGGCTTACACCCATTGTTTTATCTGGTGAGCACCCATCCTGTCTGGAAAATGCCTCCATCTGGCATTCTCCACCAGCACAACCATACTTAATGCACTTTGATACCACCACCTTTGGCATTGGTGATAGAGTTAGGAAATGTGACCACAAAACTTGAAACCAAAATTATTTTCTGTCTTTAGTGAAAGAAATGTAAACCCAGAAGCTATGATCATTCCCGATCCACTCTGTGGATGGGATATAGTGTGGCCTTGTTTTGATATTTCTTTTCTTTATTTTTTCTTCTTGGGGGACGTGGGGACAAATCATTCTATGCAGAAAGGAACCAAAAGGAGAGCAGCAGACAAGACTCAGGCAACATCAGGGTCTCTGTGTCGATTTGCCTTAAGTTCCAAATGTTTCTCCTCTTTGGTTCCCAGTACCTTTTAGCAAATTTATTTATTTATCTATTTATGCTTTCATATATCCCTCAAAAGTTGCCTCTTACAATTACAAGTGCACTAATACAGGATCTCAAATTTTGTTGCTGTTAGGATATTCATCTAGATACAAGTGTAATTTTCTTTGATGATGTCAATGTCCTCTGGCCAGAGACCACTAGAAATAAATCTGCATTTGAAAAAGTCGAATTAATTACTCCCTGCAACAAAGGAGAACATGCACAAGGTATATACCAGTGGGTGTCTGAGAAACAGGGAATTAGGAAGATGCTAGGATTTGGGGTTTGATAGGCTGGGGGAGAATTGGAAGAGGTGAAGCTCTGTGTTGAGTGATGGGAGCATGTGGGGTGAATTCTAAAATGGTGTATAGTAACATGTTTTATCAACAGGAGGGGCAGGCTGCAAAAGACTGAGTATGGAATTGGCCAAGAAACTGTATTCATTCATCTAAGCCAAGATTGCGGCACATTTGATACTTTATGATTTGAACCGTGTTCTTATCCTGTCTTTTTCAGCCTAATTTTGGAGTAATCTTGTTTTTGTCTTGAGTCATCATTTTTCATCGAATGACCTTGTCCGTGTTAATATTCCATGTAAAAGGAGAAAGCCAAGACCTCATTGTGTGACCCTGGATAATCCCTAGAACTCCAGAACTATCTTTCCCTTTTTCAATGCCCATTTTTGGCTACACACAGAAAGAAGGAAGATAAGGGCCATTCATCCCATTAATCAGTATGTACAGATTGTCACTCCTAAAATTTGTTGGATCAAGAGATTGGAGAGCATACTTTGCAATTAGATTACATTTGGACTATTCTGTCCCTTGGGTTGCAAGTTGGTGTACTGACCTCGCAGCTGTGACAACAGTTGTACAGCTACATTTAAGAGTTTTTATGGTCAATTGCAGTAGACTAGCAGCTAAAGTCCTTGCCTTGCATGTGCCGGGATCCCATACGGGCACCGGTTCTAATCCTGGCAGTCCCACTTCCCATCCACTTCCCCACTTGTGGCCTAGGAAAGCAGTCGAGGATGGCACTGGGCCTTGGGACCCTGCACCCGCATGGGAGACCTGGAATTGGCTAGGGCTCCTGGTGTTGAATTGGCCCAGCTCCAGCCATTGTGGCCAGTTGGGGAGTGTAATCAATGGGTGGAAGATCTTCTCTGTTTCTCCTCCTCTTTTGTATCTTACTTTCCAATAAAAATGAAGTAAATCTTTTAAAAAAGCATTTTTATAGGATTTGTCATCACTGGGAGCATGAATGATTTTCAGAAATAAAATGTTCTTAAATACTAAAAAATACTTTTTGGAAGGATTGAGGAGAAATTCTATTCATTATTTCAGCTTTACAAAAGATTTGGAACTTTTTACTTCCAAACCTTTAAAGAAATTCTATAATTTTTAAAAATTAAACTGAGTTAAAATTATTTTGCATGAAGAATTTTTAAAATGATGACAGTTAGGGGTCTGGAATAATGGGTAAAGCTGTCACCTACCAGGGCCACATCTGGCCACCTGTGCATTAGGGCCACATCAGATATGAGCACCTGTTCCCATCTCAGCTGCTCAACCTCCAGTGCAACTCCTTGCCACTGTCCTTGGGAAAAGCAGTGGATGATTGCCTAACTGAGCCCCTGTCACCCACACAGGAGATCTGGAAGGAACTCCTGGCTCCTAGCTTTACCTGACTCAGTCCTGACCACTGTGACCGTATAGGGAGTGAACTAGCAGATACAAACCCTCTCTGCCTGTCTCTCTCCTTCTATAATTTTGGCTTCCAAATATATAAAATAAATCTGTCTTTAAAAAATGTGACAAATAGAGATACTCCAGAGTCTCATAAAATGCCAAATAAGAATAATTATGTGGATTTTTCAGTATTTGGGATAAACACTGACTCATAACTTTAGTAAGTATTTGATAATTATGTATGTTGAGGAACACTGAGGGGAAATATCATAAGACATTGTGTTTTTCCTCAAGTGACTAATATGAGTAAATCTGCTTTGTTTTGTATTTGTTTTGCTCTTGCCTGTAAAACTACATAATCACAGATATATTTCCATAGAAACTGAATAAATGTTCATTATATGTTATTTAATGGTGTGGAATATTTGTTATGCATTTTCTAAGGAATTAAGTATCAAACTTAGGTCATATGATATTAGATTACATAAAATTACAACATTGAACCTCTTTAATAAGAAACAATATTTATCTCATCAAAACCACTAATCTGCCTGGAAAAGTTGTGAAAGATGACCCAAATATTTGGTCCCCTTCCACCTACTTGAGAGAGACCAGAGTGGAATACTGGCTCTGGGCTTTCACCTGGCTCATTACTGGTTGTTGAAGTCATTTGACAAGAATACCAGCAAATTCTCTTTGTATCTCTCTGTTTCTCCAACTTACAACCATGAGAATGTTGGGGTTATCTCACAGTGGTAGAACCCCAGGGTACCTTTGAGGAGAAATTGGAAATTAAATTGACAGTTTCAGAGCTGACAATAAGAATACATTTGTGGCAGAAATATCCAAATTACCAATCTAAAAAGAAAGTTTCCTATCCTTCCTTGGTTGATAAGTAATATCAATTTTGACTCTAGTATAGCATTCTTTAAGAGAAATTTTAACTTTCTCTGAAAGAATTTTGAAAATAATTTTCTCAGTTAAACAATGTAGTCCTGGAATCAATATTTGGCTTTCTTAAAAAGAATGGAAAATTTCTGGCAATTGCTTATTTGTTCCGTAATCTTTTACTGGAACTTCCTGTAGAACCTGTATGATTCAGTCTTCTTAAATGTATTTAAATCAGTGGTAAATGCAAAAGGAACACGTATGAAAGACTACAAATCAGAGTCAACATTTGAAGATATTTTAAAGGTGTGTGAATACTGAGATTGATGCTGGTATGAATGTTTCTGTAAGTTTCAGGGCGTGATTGACATGTCTGATAATCAAGTTTATTTTGACATTTGTGCTGAATTATTTTAACTGACACTGCTAGAATCATTTTGCCACTGATAACATAATGCATTTTCCAGATCTCTGAGGTGAGTAGGTAGCGAATTTAGCCAATCTTTAGGGGAAATGGAAATGGAATCCATGGCATCGCAGGTGACATTGGGATTTCATTCATGTAACCATGATATAGCTTACAGAATGAGTTAGTAAGCATTCCTTTAGTGAATGATTTGCTTTATCTACTATTAGTATATTAAAACCTTTTCCATGTTTAAGTATGTCATATTCAATAATATAAATGTTTCATATTTAATAATTTACTGTCTTGCTTCTTACAAACCTGAGATCTTACAAACTGGAGTAGCAAAAGTGGACAGTTCTTAAAATTCACATGATTAAAAAATGTTCACAGGTGTTTGTGTTTTTTCTTTTTCTAGGGTCAGACATTGTTCAGTGGTTAATAAAGAACTTAACTATAGAAGATCCAGGTAAATAAGTCACTTTCTGTTGTTACAATTTTTTTCTTAATGTTTTTAAGAAGTATGTTTTGTCAGGAACATTTAAAGTAACAATTAAAACTTTAAGAAATTATTATGTTGAAATTATACGAATTTTATGGTTATCAGCATCTATGAAGTTAAAATTTTATGATTTTTATAAGTTTTACATAAATAATTTACCATTTTGTATTATTTAAGTAGTCGTAGTCATTAAAGTGGATAAGCTGTATACATGTTTGAATGATTGTACATATAATTTGAGTAATGAAACTATTTATAAGATACATACAGATAAAACTTATTAGTGTATACTTTTTAACTCCATTTTTGACAATGCTGTTATAAATGTAATTTTATTTTTGTATGCCAACACAAAAAAATGTATGTATGAATGTATGTGTGTGTGGCTTTTAATGTTTTTCTCTAAGTCAACAGCTATTCATTCATTGTGGTTGGAAATTGCGTTTATTCTGCTGCAGGAAAATAATTTGCATAGTTTGAGATAATTTTATCCAGTTCATATTTTTTGCATTGTCTAGAACAAATTCCTGCATTTGATACATTCAACAACTTTTTGAAAGCATCATGCAAAACCCTTTATTTATACAGCAAACAAGTCATACCAATGGAATAAAAATGAAGTGTATATTGTTTAGAGAAAAGAAAAAGCTGATAAAGAAAAGAATACTTTATAACACCTTATCAAAAACAGAATATAAGGACTCAAAATGGCATAACAGAGAAGAATCTCTGCTCATTAACCTATGTAATACACCATACCATTGTTTGGAGAGGAATATAGTAAGGCATTCACTTCGAACTCTGAATATTATCAATTTTGGATTATTTAGTACTAAAAGTACTTGAAGATATAAGACCCTATTGCTTTCTTGTTTTGTGATAACTTCTTATTGTCATGCATTGGAATACGGCAGCTCAAACTGTGACATACAGACCTGTGTGTACTCATGCTCATTTGGTGCCTGAGCTTTTGAAACTTAAATTATCCTAGAAGATTAAATGGCAATAAGACAGTAAGAATGGAGCAGCTATTGCCAATATTGTATTATTACTAAGTGAACATAAGATTTAATTATGAGGAAAGGAAGCTGCAGTCTTACAGTTTATATTTTAGCCTCATCTTAATGACATGAATTCAGTGATGTAAATTGAGCCATTAACCCAGGGATTGGCACAATGACTGCTCACTGACAGAAAAAATGTTACAGATTAAAAAGGGTGGAGTGGATTTGCAGCAGTTTATTTTTGCATCATGAAGAATAAATGTGCTGTCAAGTGATAGCCTGATAAACCATAAACATACTTAACAGTTATAATTGTTGGTAAGAGTCATTGCTTATACTTCTAGTTTTCTTAAAGATGACGTGTGAAGAGAGTGTTATGACAGGTTTAAAAGAGTTTTTCAAGGTGATAAGTTTTTAAAAATCCATTGATTTACCTATGATGGTGTTCAGGGTTCTGCCCCTGGTCCTAAGGAGAGTGAGAAGCACCAGTGATTGCTCTGAATATATGTTAGATTGGAATCACAAGAAGTTATCAACCTGGTAGCCACTTTGACCCTAATTAAATACAGTTATCAGTGTAACTGATATTGCAAAAAGGTGATGGCAAATTCCCTTATATCACTGATATAAATCTGGGAATTCTCATGAAGAAGTACTAGGGAAGTATTTAACTGGCAGATTTAGTTTTAACTCTGTTAACTTGTTGAAGATGTTTGAGAGAGAGAACTCACACCCAGTTTTTATCTTATGCTTAAGTTTTCATTATTTTAACAAGTTCTCTTCCAATAATATATTCTATGTGATAAGTTATAATGTCTTACTTTATTCCTCATAACACTTTAAGATCACGTGGCAAGTATTGTTATAAATATATTTCATGACATTTGATGTTTTAGAGGTATCTTTGGATTGACTTGTGCATATTTTCCAAATTCTTGTTTCTAAAAGGAGGGAGTCTTTCCATGACAAAGTTTTAGTTATTGACTAGATGCATGGATTCTCCTTGGATAGCCCAATGCCATAGTTTCTCACTTTTGCTGCTTAAGCTAGAATGGTATTTGAATAAAAATTTATATTCATATGTTGGCTTTTGAACAGAATGAGTATAGCAGGGAGTTAAGTGCAACCTTAAGCAATCCTAGCCTAAAGGTTTCACTTGAATGTAGTATTGTCTGAGTATAACCATTTCACTCCGATACATTTCTTTAATTTTGTTGTGAACCCAGCAGACTACAACATGTGCTTGATTATTCTTTTGTGTTTGCCTTTCTTGGTGGAAGAAAACTGTCCACACTTGGTGTTTATTATCATGCTGCTTCAACTGCATTTGGTGCTGTTCATCTCTTGTAGTGAATGGCAAACAAAGTTGTGCACTGCCTTTTTTCTGTGTTCTGCCTTTCCCACCTTGCTTTGGGATTTTATTGGGAATCTGCTTAGAATCTTTTCTACTTAGCCCTGTAGTGTTATTGCAGAAGAAGCCTGAAATCTGATCCCATCTGTGGCACAGTGATAGATTTTGGGAGCATATGTTTGATAACTTTTCCTAGCTTTAGCATCTATGCAAGTTTCAACTTGTGTGTGGCACTAATCGTTTAAGTTTCTTGGTGCCTTCATAACAAAAGATGACATTTATTAGTGTCTTTTAACTGTGCCACTAAGAAGTATTGTTTGTGCAATGTGTGCCTATTTAACTTACAGTTGCAAATTCTGAGTGTAGATGTAACTGCATTAGTGTTAAACTATAGCTGGTCTTTTAAATAAATGACTTCTTTGTTATAATTGAAAGCTGGTATCCATCAGTTGTGGAGTAGGGACAGGAAGTATGAAGAATTGAAATCTTTGTAAACAAACTTACACATTGTTGAAATCTGTGTGTGTGTGTGCGCGCGCGCGTGCACGTGTAGAATTTGCTGTCACACAATTGGGTAGGCTGGCAATTCTGAAATGTACAGAACAAGCCGACGGGTTACATAGGCAAGAGTTGACATTTAAGGTATTCTTGAGACAGATTCCCTCTTCTTGGGAGGAAGTCTGGTTTTTGTTTGTCAGTAATTTTCTCTAAAGCTCTGACTTGATGAAGATTATCCATGTCATGAAAGACAACCAACTTTACTCAGTGTCCGTTGATTTAAGTAAGAATCTCATGTAGAATACTCTTTCAGGTATATCTAGAAACTGTGTTTGACAAACATATAAATAGTAGCCTAGCCAAGATGACATTAAAGCCTACTGTCTCCACATGCGCTGGTTAGCATACTGTTCACCATCAGCACCTGAAGTTGGTGGCCCACTCAGTTGCTCCTGTGATGTTTGTTATTCCTAGGGCTTCTTCCTATTTATTGACAGACTTGCTGTGAAGGAACAGCTGATAAAGACTGTTGTAGTTCTTAAGCCCCTACAGAGTATTTATATTTTCAGACTGGAAAGTATCTTGTATGTCTTAATGTCTTGTGCTATGCTTCTGTCTCACTGTTAGCTACATGAATGTAATTCTGCTACACTCTTACCCTTTTGCGGCATGACATTCTGTCCAAGGCCATCCAAGGTTCCTGTGCCCAGGCACATCATACAGTTGTTCTGCTCTTTCTGGGTCCCATACTCTCTGTGCGTGAAACAAGTAACTGACAGTTGCTTTTCTTGGTTATAAATAGTTTTTACATGTTTTCATCACCACCTAAAAAATAGTTACATTATGCCAGCTAGCTTTGCAACATGATAAACCACTCCAAACCTTTGGAGATTACCATTAGCCATCAGTTATTTACTTTGCCTTTTTGGAGTTCAGCTTATTACCTCTTGCCACCTTGATCTTCTTGGCTGTTTCCTGCCTTGCTGTCTGACACACTCAAACCAGCTGGTGAGTGGATGATCTCAGATGTGTGACATATGGCACTTGGTAGGCCATCAGTGAGATGCTTCTTATTCATTCATCCTCAGCATGATCACACTTTTTTGTCACATGGTACCCCAAGGTTACAATCACAATGTAAGGTTTTCCTTACTACAAATAAGCACAAAGGCAATATAGGGAAGAAGACATGGTATATGAATAAAATGTTCCAACAGTATTCCAGATCTTTATTTCCTCTAAGTTTTAAACCTGCTTTTTTTTCATGCTTTTTTTTTCACTTTTTTGTTTCACCTTTGAAAACACGATTTGTGTCCAATATCATGTTCTGTTAATAAGGGATATTGTAACAGATAATTTTAAACACAGACTATTTCATGAAACCTTTCTTCCAAAATTTAGCTCCCAAATTGCTTTTTTTTAATGAACTACAAGAATATTTGCAATAGATGCTACTGTTTTCATTCTAATTTTATTTTTAATTTTCATTTATTGCTCTTTTTCACTTAGAATGCTTCTAAGCAGCAAAATGGCAGAGGACACACATCCTCTGGTTATGCAGAGAATGGTCCAGGACAATCAGGTCACAGTAATTACTTTATTGCTTTTACTAATGGGAAGTCATTGAAATGGCATCAAGTTTATGTAACCATTTATTCAGTTGTGATCTCCTAAATTGTTGGGGAAAAGGAAGAAGACATAATGTTGTTTTAATAGAAATATCTGTTTATTTTTATTGGAAAGGTAGATTTACAGAGAAGGAAAAATGGAGAGAAAGATTTTCCATCTGCTGGTTCACTCCCTAAATAGCCACAATGGCCAGAGCTGAGCTGATCCAAAGCTGGGAGCCAGGAGTTTCTTCCAGGTCTCCCATGCAGATATGGAGTGCTAAGGCTTTGGACCATCCTCCACTGCTTCTCAGTCCCTAAGCAGGGAGATGGATAGGAAGTGGAGCAGCCAAGACACGAACTGGTGCCCATGTTGGATGTGGGTGCTTGGGGGTGGAGGAATAGCTGGCAAAGCCGTTGCACTGAGCCAGAAGAAAAATTAAATGAAGAGTTCCTCATGTGGCTTAAACCAAATATAAAGTAAATGATGGAAAACCCACATAGAAT